AAAGATCATGATCCCTGAGAAAGGCCCTTGGTTTTGTCCTTGTGCCAGCTGATCCTCAAGAAAGAAATTTCAGTTCAATGTAGATGGGAGGTAGGTGAGTAAACGCAAACTCAAGAGGTTGAGGGTGAGAGGGAGATGAGCAGTGGAAGAATTTGCATTTCTCCGTAAATATTTTTGAGTTGAAGGGAGTTGTGTTCTGCAGGACTCAGGGTGGTACGAGCCTGTTGATATAGGAGGAGGGGTCTATGAAAATACCACTGTGGGAGAGTAACTGAGTGAGGAAGGCCCTGACAGAGGGGAGATGGGATGGAGAGCAGGGGCAGGGGAAGCGCTCAGCTCAGCAAGGAGGAAGGCCTTCTGTCCATGGAGCTGCGGTGAAATGACGTCAAAGGGAAAAGCTTCCAGAAGAGAAAGGGCAGAGACATGGTGGCCAGCCCTGGCTTCCTCCTCTAGGTCAGACACAAGCCCAATTGCTAGGACAGAGGAGACTGGGTGAAAATCTGGCTTTGGGAGAATAAAGGTCTGAAGCAACCACGTGTTTTAGGCATTGCCCATAAAAATGTGGAGTGCTGGGTTTTAAAAGGGAAAATCAGGTTCCTGGGCCCAACCCAGACTGAGTGAATCTGAATGTCCAGGAGGAGGCATAGCAATCTATATATTAAACGAATGCCCTGGGGGGAAATTATATCATCAGGCAAGCTTAGGAAAACACTGTCCTAGAACAAGTGACTCCCAAATACATCAGATTCACTGGAGCTGCTTTTAGAAAATAGGATTATGAAAAGGCCAGGCATGGTGGCTCTCACCTGTAATCCCAGAACTTTGGGAGGCCAAGGTGGGCAGATCACAAGGTCGGGAGTTGGAGACCAGCCTGACCAACACAGTGAAACCTCATCTGTACTAAAGATACAAAAATTAGCCGGGTGTGGTGGCACACGCCTGTTATCCCAGCTACTCCAGAGGCTGAGGCAGGAGAATGGCTTGAACCCAGGAGGCAGAGGTTGCAGTGAGCCGAGATCGCATCACTGCACTTCAGCCTGGGCAACAGAGCAAGACTTTGTCTCAAAAAAAAAAAAAAAAAAGAAGAAGAAGAAATAGGATCATGGATCCCTACCCTAGAGATTCTGATTCAGGAGGTAAGGAGAGGAGCTTGGGCCTCTGGGTTGTTTTGGAAGCTTTCCGGCTGCTTTTGTGGGCACCCTGCTTAGGGACTGCAGCTGAGTGGCCCTGAGCAAGCCTCTCCTGTGCAGATGCAAAGTGCCTGTGTTATTTCACTGCGACTACTTCCAAGTATTCCGCTCTAGGTTAAACTAATGGCCATCCTGTTCTCAGCATTCTCCTGGGGCTTAACAGCTACGTCCAGACTTAGTGTGTTTGTGCTGTGTGCAAAACCCTGCTGCAAAATGCAAGCTGCCCAGTTCTGGAAGACAAGGCTCCTGCTTTCAGGGAGCTTATGGCCGGCCAGAGGAGGGCGGTGTGCCTCGGCACAGATGGAGGGTGAGGGGGTGTAGTCAGTGGGGATGCAGGCTCAGTGCCAGACTGAGTCACTCACTGGCTGAGGCAGGGGCCACACTGTGTGGGAAGATAGTTGGTTGGAGCTGATAGTTCACCCTGGTTGTATTTAGTCTTTTATCACCAAAGCTAAAATAAGACTTGGGTGTTTTTCAAACTTCCCCAAATCTAGAGATTTTTAGGGTGACAGTCTTTGAGGTTTGGCTAGAAATGAATGTGGTTTGTAGATGGGGTAGCCAGGTGGAGGGAGAGGAGCAGGAGCAGCAGCTTCCCAGCCCCGGCATCTGTCCCAGGCTCATAAGTTGAACACTGAATTTCAAGAAGGTGCCAGCCCCTGAAGGCAGGAGGTGAGCAGGCCTGGCTAAGGTTTAAAGGCCTGCATTCAGAGGCCTAGGTTGGGGGTATGAGGCTGACTTGGGGAGAGCATAGTAGGCAGGGTGGGGGATGGGAAGCAGAAAGAGATGAGGGGGGAAGTAGACAGGGGCTACATCCTCAGGGTTTTGTAAGCCAGGTTTTGAATTTTATTCTAAGTGGGCAGGAAGCTAATAGGTTTTAAACAGGTCTGCATTGCATTTTTTTCTTTTTCTTTTTCTTTTTTTTTTTGCATCTCAGATACATTTATTCATGCTATGAAGTAAATGACACTTTACAGGTGTCCCATGATATTTCACATTCCCATCTAACATAGCTTGCATTGCATTTTTAAAACATTATTTTTTATAGAGACCAAGCTGGTCTCGAACCCTGGGCTCAAGTGATCCTTCCTGCCTCAGCCTACCAAAGTGCTAGAATTCAAGACAGAAGCCACTATATCCAGCCACTTGCATTGCTTTTTTTTTTCCAGACAGAGTCTCACTCTGTCGCCCAGGCTGGAATGCAATGGTGTGATCTTGGCTCACTGCAACCTCCACTTCCTGGGTTCAAGTGATTCTCCTGCTGCAGCTTCCTGAGTAGCTGAGATTACAGGTGCCCACCACCATGCCTGGCTAATTTTTGTATACTTAGTAGAGACAGCGTTTCACCATATTGACCAGGCTGGTCAATATACTAAAAACTCCTGACCTCAGGTGATCCACCTGCTTCAGCCTCCCAAAGTGCTGAGATTACAGGCATGAGCCCAGCTTGCATTACATTTTAAAATGCACTCTAGTGTAGAAGAACAGACTGTAGCTGGCAAGAGTCAAGTATGGATTGTCTGTTATTGTAGTTCAGGAGCAAGAGGGAGGTGGCTGGGATGGGGGTGGTCTGGATGGATCGGAGCAATACAAAGATCTAACATGTTTTTTGAGGTGGTGTGGGCAGGACTTGCTGCTGACCCAGGTGTGGGAGGTAAGGAAAGGAGGAATCAAGGACCTCAGACACAGGATTTGAGCAACTGCATGATGGGGATGCTCTCACTTGATGTGGGCAGGAGTAGGGTTAACAGAGGAAGTGAGAAGTCTTGTTTGGGACACATGGTTAGTCATCCAGGGACTGGCTGTATCAAAGGGGCAGCTTTAGGTACAAGTTCGCAGTCCTAGACACAGCTCATGGCTAGAGGGATAGATGTAAGCATCCCTGCTGTAGAGGCAGGTGAAACATGGAGCAGGGCACTGTGGATATGGAAGGGCCAGAATAGAATCCTGGGCCATCCCAACATTGAGCGAGTAGAGGGGGAAGCAAGAACAAATGGATCTCAGGGACAGTGTTCCATGCCAAGGAAAGAAAGACATGACCTTTGGAACCATAGATATGCTATGACTTTCATATTTACTGCATGAAAGAAGTCTTTTGTGTTCCCATTTCCATTGTGAAGGGAATGTGTTTCTCTCCTTCAGCCACTGTTTTGTGGCTGATCCCTCCCCAGGGCAGGAAATCTGTCTGGGTGAGGACTCTGAGCCTCACAAACGCCTTCCACCTAACAGCTCCTGCGGCAGAGACCAAAGGGCTGCTAGAGGAGAGTAAAGCCCTCAAGGATTGGGGACCACTGGTTTGATTTTCCAGTTGGAGCAGATCTCCCAGGATCCTGACTCTCTGAAAGCCTTTTCCTTTCTGCCTGCCCAGAAGTGGAGGTTTTGGGAGTTGGATGAGATTTCTTGCATAGCTCTATAGTCTGTTCTTACCTTTTTTTTTTTTTTAGAAACAAATGTCCTCATCCAGGAGATTTTTACCTCAAAGCCATAGGCTGCTATAGAGGATCCTTATCTCCTGAGGCATCTAAGAAAAGCCCACAGAGGAACACTAGGGCTCACATTTGTCTAAAGCAGCACAGTTTACAGAACCTCCATTTATGTTCTTTCACCACCACTCTTTAGCAAGGCTTTTGTAACTATTCCCATTTTGCAGATTAGGAAGCAAAGAATCAGAGCACTCAGCTACTTCCAGGTTCCACAGCTGGTAGGAAACATCATCGGGACTTCCACCTGGGTCTTCTGACCCCAAATCTTGTGCTGCCTGGATTTATTCCCAGATGCATCTTGAATAGAAATGACTCAATGCAGATATAAAGAACTTAGAAATATGGTTATATTAACAAAAATATGCCTGTGTGACAGAGACCTTTACTGAACTAGAAAGATTTGGCATGGTGGCTCACGCCTGTAATCCCAACAGTTTGGGAAGCTGAGGCAGGTGGATTGCTTGAGCCCAGGAGTTCAAGACTAGCCTGGGCAACATGGCTAAACCCTGTCTCTACTAAAAATACAGAAAATTAGCAGGTGTGGTGGCACACGCCTGTAGTCCAGCTACTCAGGAGACTGAGGTGGGAGGATCGCTTGAGCCCTGGAGGTTGAGGCTGCAGTGAGCCGAGATCGCATCACTGCACTCCAGCCTAGGCGACAGAGTGAGACACTGTCAAAAAAAAGTGGGGGGAGAAAAGAAAAGAGAGATTTCTGGGTCTTCAACCATAGGTTGACATCTGCCCATGGGAATCTGAGCCAAATCTGAGGACACCAAACTGATTGCTGCAGCCTCTGACCCTCTCCCTGGAGGGTTGGCTAGGATTCCCAGAGAATGGGACCCTGCAGCCACCACCCCTCCTCCCCTACTATCTGAGGGCTTCCTGTCAGTGCACTCCCGTCTTTTAGGAGAAGAGAAGCAGCTTCTCACAAAGAAATAGGGGACTCTCCTACCCCCAGGGCTGGCAGGGCAGAGAGAGCTGATGAAATTGGCTGGGGTGGAGTTCCCGTGGTTGCAGACAAGGCCGTGGGGACAGGCAGCCTTCAGTTGTCAAGCGCTTACGCAGCAGGTACGGTAGCTGTTAGGGGAGATGTCTAGGTGGAAAAATGTCTAGGCGGGGTTCTCCTTTCCCTGCTTCCTTCTAGATGTCAGAAAGGTCCCAGGAACACTGCGGTTCCCGCCCAGTCCACGGGGTGGCGCGCGGGTCACAGAGCTGTGGGCTCCAGGGGCCAGAGAGGAAACGCCGTCTGGAGGCGCCGACTCCTGGCGGTTCCCTCCACCGATGCTCAACTTTCCGCAATTCCTAACCGCCTCCCCCTCTGCCGCGACAGGTCGGCGTGGTGGTGACGTTCCTAGTGCTGCTTATTTTCTCCTACAACGTCGTCTTCCTGTTCGTGGGGACGGCGAGCCTGGGCCTGTTTCTCAGCAGCACCTTCCCCAGCATGCTGGCCTACACCGAGGACTCGCTGCAGTACAAAGGTGAGGGCCGGCCCGAGCCAGGAGGCGCGCTCTTCTGGGCCCAGCACCATCTCCCAGCGAGAACGCTGCCCTAGCTCCCGGGAGAATTGAATGCCCCCTCCTGACTTTGACGGGGGCAGGCTCACAGCGGGGAAGCTTCTGACCCGCTGGGCTCCCTCCATTCAAAGTGATTCCCGTAATGATGGGATTGCAGGCAGCAGAGAAGCAGTTAAGCTGCTTTTTTCCATCTGCTTTGTCCCCTTCCTAACGTCTGCTGACCTACAGCTGACATTTTGTGCGATATGCATGTGCGGGAAATGCCAAGTTCCAAGAAAAGCAACGATGCACGGAAGAAGTTATGGCATAGGAAAGGCATTTTGTAACCTAATTTTCAGGAACAGTACCTGCCTGCCGGCTGGATGTTAGAAACATGGAGATGCAGAACACTGACTCTGCATGTGGTTTCAGGAGTGCCACAGCCTCTTTGATGTCTGAAATCTCTAATTCTCTCGACTAATCTCCCTCCGCTTTCCCCTAGCCTCCCTAGGGCCTATAGCAAAGATCTCTTTTTTAATGAGTTAATTAAAAAAAATTATGTTTTGAACATCACCAGAGACGCACCGGAGGCTGGAAAACCAGCATTAAGATGTGCAATTTCTTTAGAGAGGAATGGGGTAAGTTGGTGTATGGGGAGAGTCAGGGCAGTTAGAGCTGCACATCCACAGCCTGGATCCTTGAAAGAGAAGCCCCAGATAATTTTGGCACATGACATCACCATCAGTCGTTAGGAATAAAATCTTTTCTAAATAAACCTGCACACTTTTGGTATTTTCTAAATGGAAATTTTTTTTATTATGTAAGTCGTATGTGCTTACTGCAAAAACCTCAAACAATAAAAGCATAGTTTAAAGCAGTAAGTGAAAGTAGCTGAAAATAACCCCCTTAGCAGTTCATTTCCTTCCAGATCCTTTCCAGCTTAAGACCATTCTCTGCGCTGTTTAATGTTTGTAATTTAGAAGACAATTCCCGTGAGAGAATGAATGTTCGAATCAAATGTATCTGAGTTTCTTTGGCTTCTGGCTCTTCTGAGTGGGGGTACTACACATCATCTGAGAAACAACCCCAAATCAGGGCACACCTGGTATAAATTCCATTGAATCGTGACTCTGAAGAGATCGCGGCCATGGTGAAAACTGAGGGCAGAAAATATGTCAGCCAGTCATCATCCAGCCAACCCATCACTCTCCCATCTTTCTGCTACTCAGGACATCATTCGAGGTCCCACAGGACATGCCCAAGGACACACAGCTTCTCCCTGCAGCTCGTTCTAGCGACAGGACAGCCACGCACCCAGCTCCCACAGGAGAGGGCCCAGGAGCCCTCAGGCTCCTCCCTCGCCCATCAGTCTCCAAGCCTCAAGGGAGTAAATGAAGTAATGAAATAAGGTAGCTATTACATGTCACACAGTATAACTCAAGAGTTTTAAGTGCTCAACAAATGTTAAGAGTTTAGTAATGGTAAGTGAGGCCCGGTGCAGTGCCTCACGCCTGTAATCCCAGTACTTTGGAACGCTGGGGCGGGTGGATGACTTGAAGTCAGGAATTTGAGACCAGCCTGGCCAACATGGTGAAACCCTGTCTCTACTAAAAATACAACAATTAGCTTGACATGGTGGCAGGCGCCTGTAATCCGAGCTACTTGGGAGGCTGAGGCAGGAGAATCACTTGAGGCAGAGGTTGCAGTGAGCCGAGATTGCACTCCAGCCTGGGTGACAGAGCAAGACTTTGTCTCCAAAAAAAAAAAAGAAAGAAAGAAAAGAAAAAAGTGATATTGATTGATTCTACCTGCAAATGATCACTCAAATCCGTCCTCTTCATTTCTTACTGTCCCTGCCTAATTTAAGGTCTTTATCTTCATTGACCTGCTTGTTGGAATAGTTAACGGTACCTAGCTTTTCCCAGGTTCTAATCACTTCCATCCCTTCCTTGATGGGTCCTGGCTTGTCTCCTTGTCTTCAGTCTTGCCTCCATCTAACCCAGCTGGCTGAATGTTAAAATCACCTGGAGCTCTGGTACCAAAACCCAGTGACTGCACCTCACCTCTGAGTCTGATGCAATTGGTCCAAAGATGCTGGGTGATTCTAACGTGCAGCCAGAGGTGAGGACCATGCACTAAGCCACCCTCCACACTATAAAACAAGGCTGTGCTTCAGCAGCACATGTACTAAAATTGGACCAACACAGAGACAATTAGCCTGGCCCCTGTTTAAGGATGATGTGCAAATGTGTAAAGTGTTCCCAAAAAATCCCAGAAAACAGAGCTGATCAGTCTCCAGATCTACCTATGGAGCATCTCTCTCTCCAGCCTTCTCTCTCCCTGCCTCTCCTCCAAGCCTGCATCCTAGCCAGGCATAACATGCTATTCACTGATGGCACAAAAACTGTTCTGCACTTCCCTACTTTGGCATGTGGTGAACCCTCTACCTGAAACATCCTCCCTGCTCCATCTCACCCCTTTATCTGCCTGCTCTTCCTTCCAGACCCAACTCAAGGAAGTGTCCCCTCCAGGAAGCTTCTCTGATCCCCACTGGAAAGGTGTGCCTCCCCTTTGTGCCTTTGACATTGCCCCCGTCTCATGTTTGACCCATCTCAAGACTTTTGTACCTATGTTTTATCTGCTTCTTCTCGTAAATAACATGACCCCAGCAAAGGACCAGGGTAAGAGCATGGGCTGTGAAGGCAACAGCACACCTGTCAGTCCTGCCTCCAGAGTTACTGGCTTCATGACCTTGTGCAGTTTTACTTCCTTCCTCTCTTTGAGCCTCCATTTTCTCACCTGTAAAATGGGAATGCAAATACCTGCCTTTTAGGATTGTTTTGTGCATCAGAAAAAATGTAAAGCTCTTGACTTAGCAGCAAAGCTGGCTCACAGGCACTCCGTGTCTTGTTGACTCAGTATTCACCTGACCATCCTCAGTGCCTAGCACAGAACCCAGAGGTCCTCAAAGTTTTTTAAACACATGAGTGGAACAGACGTTGGATGCTTCTAGAATTCAGAGAAGGGAGTGAGTGGTCAGTGTTGATTTAAATAAAAGCAGCTTGATAGAGGGGATTGGATGTGAGCTGGCCCAGAATCTAGAAAAGCAGAGAGGAAAATGGAAAGGCATTCCTGGGCAGGGTAGGGCAGAATGAGAGCAAAGGCACAGAGACAAGTCTGAACATAAGTGAGATTGAAAGAGCTAGAAGGAATGTGAAGTCCAGAGTATACAATGATGACAACCGTTTTATTTAAAAAAAATAGTGTCTGTGTCTTAGCTGCTGTGCTACTAAACACTGGTTTATGCCAGTGATCTATATGACAAGGCATGGCCATCCTCTCCTGGGCTTCCAGCCTAGTGGGGAGGGTTGGCTCGGCAACAGACAGTGTGGTGAGAGCAGGTGCAGGGGGATGTCACAGCACAAAGGAGGAGCAACCATCCAGGCATGGGGACCAGGAAGGAAGATTAGTGACAGAAGTCTAAACTAGGACCTAAAAGATAAATGGGAACCAGCCTAGTCAACATGGCAGAACTTTGTCTCTACTAAAAATACAAAAATTAGCCAGGTGTGGTGGTGCATGCCTATAATCCCAGCTTCTTGGGAGGCTAAGCCACTGTACTCCAGCCAGGATAACAGAGCAAGGCTGTGTCTCAAAAAAAAAAAAAAATGGTAATTTACCAGAAAAGATGAGGAAGAGGAATGGTCAGTGGGGAGTGAAGGTGTGTGTTGGAGTCTGGAGATGAGAGTATGCAGGGTGGAGGGGGAGAGAAGCCTGAGCCGTCAGCAGGGGCAGAGTCTAAAGCGCCCTGCAAACCGCATGGAAGCCCTTAGGCTTCATCCTGAAGGCAGTGCTGAAGGGCTTGTACAGAAAGTTGGGTGCTTTTGAGTTGACTGTGTGCCAGTCCTATGCCAGCTCTTGGCATGGCTTACATCAGAGTTACCCACACAGTAACTCTGTGAAGGAGGTGTGATGCTCATTTTACAGAGAAGGAAACCAAGGCCTAGAGAAGTTAGAGAACTTGTCTAAGGTCACATGGCTAGGAGGTGACAAGCTAGGCTTGGAACCCAGGTCTGACTCTGAAGCTTGGGCTCTGAAGATCTGCACCAAGCTGCCATATTCACCAGGGCGTGTGGTCAGTGCAATGCCAGGACAGCGAAGACACCAGTCTGCCTGCCCCAGAGGGCTGGCCTCAGGATATCAGGAAATCTTTCTAGAAAGGTAGGTAGTAGTCAGGTTGGGAAGAGCTCTGAATGCCAGGGCTAAGCAATTTGGGATTTTCCCTGAGATAGTGATGAGCAATTGAAGGTTTCAGAACAAGGAAGGGACAAAATGACAGTAAGACCTAGGCATTCCCAAAGCAAAGTCACAGGCTCATGTCTGAGAAATCCAAAGTAGTCCTTTCTGCATATTCCAGAGGTTTCCCAGAAGCAACCTGGATTTTTTTTTTTTTTTTTTGAGAGGGTCTCACTCTCACCCAGGCTGGAGTGCATTGGTGCGAACATGGCTCACTGCAGCCTCCAACTCCTGGGCTCAAGGGATCCTCCCACCTTAGCCTCCCAAGTAGCTGTGACTACAGATGTAAGCCACCAACCATGCCTGGCTAATTTTTAAAAATTTTACTTTTTGTAGAGACCAAGTCTTGTGACATTGCCCAGACTGGTCTTGAACTCCTGGCCTCAAGAGATCCTCCCGATTCCAACTCCTAAAGTGCTGTGATGCACCTCCCAAAGTGCATACGCCAGTGTGCCTGGCCAGCAACCTGAATTGTAACTCTGATTTCTGTCTCTTTAACTTGCTTTTACCAAACCAAACCTTCTCTTTTTGTCAGGCTGTGCAACCACAGTGCTGGTGACGGGGGCAGGAGTTGGTGAGATGGTGCTGCAGATGCTGGTTGGTTCGGTATGTGGGGACCTATAGGGGAGAGGGGAGCATTTGGGGAACACTCCTCTGACAGGTGAGAAGATGCAGCTAGCAGCCTTCTGAACTCCAGATGTCCCTTTCCTGAGTCTCTCGCAGAGCCAGCAGGGCTCCCTGTGCCGGTGTTACCTGTTTCCGTTTCTGAGCCAGCCCTGAGAGCAGAGCCTCCATATGTGGGATCTGGAGATGTGAACGGATGCATGAAAAAGTCCAAAGCAAACACAAGCCGTGTCTGGGAGCGGGGCCAGAGGGGCCCGTGGGAATGCTGTTTAGCTTTCAGAGCCTGAGATGGGTTGGAACTGCAGTGAGAGTTCTTTTTCCATCCCTTCAGAACCCACCACTCCCTACCCAACCTCTCACAGCCTCTGGCAGCCCTGCGCAGGGCCCAGCTTCCTGCTCGACTCCTGCCCTGACTGAGGGCCAGCTCGTCCAGTTCTCTACAAAGCTACCCATGTTTCATCTGTTCACTAGGAGAAAAAAATAAAACCTAACATCTACTTTTTATTGAATACTGTAATGAAGATATTATTCCCCTTTTTACAACAGAGGATATTGAAGCTCAGATGAATTTAGCAACTTGCCCTAGGTCAGTCGCACTTCTAGTAACTGACAGAGAGGACCTCACATCTAGATCTTTCGGCCTCCAAAATCTCCCTCATCATGACTCGTTTCTCCTTTCCTCCTCTTTTGCCCTGCTGGAGGGAGGGGAAGAGCTACATCTCACGATACCCTCCTCATTGAAATGACGTGATGTCTGGGACTTGCTTTGGTGTAACCTAGTGCAGAGAAGAAGCGGAAGCCCACAGATGAATGGTGCTGATTGCTAAAGCTGAGTGATGGGTTCACTGGGGCTCCATATACGACTTGGACATGTTTTAAGTTTTCATAATAAAAGGTTAAAACAATATATCCTCTGTAAAGTTCCGGTTAGGGCTTATGGGTATAAAAACACCTAGTGTGACTGGAGTTTCAATGATGATAGAGATTGTCAGAAGGTTCCAGAACACAGAGCTACAAGGGACTGAAGGGGGTCACCAGGTCCAGCCCCTGCCTTTGAGTAGGACTTCTGCCTTCTCCAGACATATAACCTTGAAACAAGGCCAAGGCCTCCCTGCTCCCCATGATTCCATCTCTTGGTGTGACGGGCCTCAACCTGACCGAAAAACCAGCCAAGGATGGAGAAGGCTGCGTTTTCCAATACACCTTCCACGTGAAGTTTTAATGGTCTGTATCTCTGTGTTTTCCCCTTTGGCAGATATTCCAGGCTCAGGGCAGCTATAGTTTCCTGGTCTGTGGCGTGATCTTTGGTTGCTTGGCTTTTACCTTCTATATCTTGCTCCTGTTTTTCCACAGGATGCATCCTGGTCTCCCATCAGGTAAGGAAAGAATCCGTTTCTACACAAGAGGAGGAAAACAGAGCAGGGGGAGGACGGGGGAGATGCTATGGATCTTAACGTGCCAGAAACGCTACTCTGTTCCAAGTAAAATGCAAGGAAATGTTTATTTTTCTACAGCTTCCTTTCCCCCTCTTCCTGCTTTCCATACAATTGTCTGTGCTGGACTCTTAAGATAGGCGAGAGCTGGGTTGGCTGACTCATGGTTTCTCCATTAGCAGAGGGGCATGGATTGTGAACTTGGCTTCCTGCATCCCACCATGCCACGGAACCATGAGCCAAGAATCTCTTTCCAGCCTGTTCAGGGCGCTGAAAGGCAGAGCCCGACTCCTTGGCTGGAACTCAGCCCAACGGCCTAATTGGCCATCTCTTTGCAGTTCAGGATTTTGATTCTAGTCCAGATCTTCTTTGAAAAAGAGGTCCTTCAGGCCAAGTGGCAAAGAAAGGCTCCTTCAGGGCAGAGACACTCCTAAGAATAGTTTCCCCTCCAGAGACCCCAGACAGGGAGAGTCCCAAAGCTATTTTCCTAACTCTGAGCCCTCACCTGCTCTTATGTCTACTGCTTTCAAAGTGCCCAGGGACTGCATCAGCTGTGTGCAGAGCCAGTTCTTGAGAGAGGGTGCCCAGGCAGAGACTTTGTTCTCTCTATAAAAAGGAAAATAATCACAAAAAGACTAAAGGAACAGGCATCCACCATCCGCTCTCAGTGGGTGAGCGTATCCACCCTCTAAACACTCAGTACAAAGGCCCAGAAGGAAAGGCGGCCCCCAAAATAGCACTAACTACAGCCTCACTTCTGGGATAGCAGTACTGGTTGCTGTCCAGCTCGGCACGCAGTGCAGTTTCATTTCAGACCTACGTTCAATTAATATTTGCTGAACATCAAATGAATAACACTTAATGGTTTCCTTATTCATGGGAGACAGACACATCCCCCAAGCCCTAGACAGTAGTCTCAAGCAACTGCCTCCACTGTTTGCCAGAACTAGTGGATCTGACTTTTTCACTTTGCTCCCTCGAGAGCCACAGAATGGCAGAGAAACAAACAGCCTGGGTAAGCTCTCGGAATGAATCATCGCTGCAACTCATCAGAGCTGCTGAAACATGCTACCTGTTTGTTTTTCTTTTGTAGTTCCTACCCAAGACAGATCAATTGGAATGGAAAACGCTGACTGCTACCAGAGGTAAAACTGGGTGAAGGAGGCAAGAGAAGACGTTCAGCCTCTTGATCACCAGCACAACCACGCTGTTTCAGAAAGCTGGCTGGTGGTGCAGGCGCTCTCTCCATCACTGTTCAAGTCTTCTCCACTAAAGCTTGGTTGGGTAAAGGAGATTAATTGATGATTGGTACCTGGTCAAAATCATTAGAAATTTACCTGGCTTCTCAGGTTACCTTCCTTCCTGGTTCAGACTGTTGGTAAGAGCTGTCCAGATACCCAGATGGGAAGGAAGGGGACAGCCATGCACTTCACTCCATTTGTCGCCTCATGCATGGGCCATACTCTGGGTTTGAGATTATTTTTCACTGAAGTTTGTAAAAATCAGTTGAAATTGTAAACCTCCATGATCATTGATATACAGAGATATATTTTAAGCAAAACAAGCTGCAAGTTATTACCTGGCATGCTTAAAGGATTTACGTGCTTTTCACTTAATCCAAAGTCCCTTAAATTCCTGCTGCAGACATCAATAGCTTATCTATATTCTCAAACACCAAAAGGAAAAGTTGAATCTTGCTCTCTTCGGTACACTAATTTGTGGTATGCTGAGCTAGCTCATACCAGCTTAGAAAAGCTGATTGTAAAATTTACATTTTGACAGCTGGTTATTAAATGCAGCCATTATTAAAAATTAAATCATAGAAACATAATTAAATAAATTACATTTAAAACAAAGGTAAGAAATATTCAAAGCTTATCACTTCCTAATTTTATCTTGATGCTCTTGAGGTAATTTATGTCCATGGTACCTGTGTGGTGGAATTACTATATATGATGGTGTGCTACTGTGCACCTTGTCCCAGCCCACTCCTGGTGATAGCATGTTGGTAGCCTGAAATCAGCCAAGTGGGAGTATTACCATGAATACCGGCAAAAGCTACAGATCTGGGAGAGCCCACTGTTCAACATTTACCAGCATACCATCGCTAGGAATCAAGGCTAACTGATCGAGAAATCGCCCGGGAGAATGAGATGGATGTTCCGGTTTTTCTCTACTGACACTGACTAGCATATAAAAGGTATAGAAAGAGCACTAAGAATTTCTGAAAATACCTGATAAAAACGTTACATCTTTTATAGAGGGAAAACAACTCTTTATACCATGACAAGGCCTTTTCTTTCACAAAAAGCTGGGCCTACTGAACAATTCAAACTGTGCAGTAGACTGAAGCAGTATTTGTCAAGGAGTTACAGCTCCTGTGCAGAGCAAATCCTGTAGTGATACAAGAATACAAACTTGCCAGCTTAGACAGGGAGCAGTCCTAAGACTGCTGGCGGTAGCAAATGGCTGTTACAGTAACTGTATAATGGTTTTGCCCGTACTTTCTCTATGTATATACGAATGTACATGTATAAATTAAAAATTAAATGATCATGGTTCTCAGTAACCTGTCCCAAGTGCTATGGTTCGCACACCTGACACTAAATGTTCTTCCTGGTCCAGTCAGCCAGCTGTGACCACCAGTAGCACAGCTGACTGCTGAGAATCTGCAGATTCTCAGAAAGAGAAAGAGAAAGCTGACTCAAGCACTGGCCCAGCTTCTAGCTGTGTGGCCCTGAGCAGGTTACTGAGGCTCTTCCAACCTCACTTTTTCACATGTAAAATGGGACTTCTAAAAGTACCTACCCTACCTCAAAGGAATTCTGAAAAAATTAAGTGAATTTGTATAAAGCACTCACAATATGCCTGACACAGAAACTGCTTAATACATGTTAGTAACTTTTAAAACCTCCTCATAAGCAGCTTAGGAATTATTCATACGTTTGGTACATATTGATTGCAAGTTAAGTAGATCCAACTTTTTTTTGAAAGCTGCTGGTCTAGGAGCATAGTTTTAAATATGTTTATAAATACTCAAAAGTATTAGATGCCAGTCTAATTTAAATGCAGTCTGACCGTAGTGACTGACTGACCTGGGCAACGAAAAAGCAGTTGTATTTTTCTTGTAGTTTTTCAAGAAAACATCCTTTTTATACAGATTTAGAAAAAAGAATCAATGGCTATATCTAAGTTGCTTGTGACTCATTTGTTAATAGAGAAAAAAAGATGAAAACGAATCTAAGAGTACCTTTCCTAAAATAAAATGTTTTAAACTTATTAAGTGTGTTATCCATTATGAAGAACAATTGATCCTTTTGTATAAACTCAGAAACAAATGGCCTGATGTTCCCCAGAGATAGGTCTCTCTCATACTATGGCTGATATTTTAGAAGAAAGAAAACTATCTCACAAAGGAAACTCTGATTTAAAATAAATAAATAAATAAATAAATAACTTCTTAGAGCAGTCTGAGTGCCACTATTCCCATAAAATGAGAATAAGGGAAAGGCAGATAGATTCTTATACTACACTTCTAAATCAGTTACACAGCGAATAGGACTTTCTTCGTGATCTTCCTCTCAAGAATTTTGACATTTCAAGAGTCCTGTGGAGTCACCCTGTTCCCAGATTTTCCTCTGCTACTTGGACATGGAAATTAACCCATCGAGCACATCTGATTCACTAAAAGAAGACACACTGACATAGAGTTCGAGTGAATTTCATTTATTCAGTCAAAAGGATTTGTTAAGCACCTGCTATGTTCAAGGCACTGAGATACAGACATCCAGTGGTGACTGAGCCAGTAATTCCTGCCTCACAGGGATTATACCACAGGTGAAGACATATAGACAGCAAACAAATACTATAGGTAACATACCGCAGGGTGAGGGGTAATGTAGCACCATAAAGAAACATACAGCAAGGAAGTGGGGTGGGAATGGGGGATATCACGAGATGCTCTGGCCAGGAATGGAGGCTGTCGCCTGTAATCCCAGCACTTTGGGAGGCCAACGTGGGCGGATCACCTCAGTTCAGGAGTTCAAGACCAGTCTGGCCAACATTGCAAAACCCTATCTCTACTAAAATTATAAACTTTAGCTACACATGGTGGTGCACACCTGTAATCTGTAATCCCAGCTACTGGAGAGGCCGAGATGCGAGAATTGCTTGAACCTGGGAGGCGGAGGTTTCAGTGAGCTGAAATTGTACCACTGCACTCCAGCCTGGGTGACAGAGCAAGGCTCTGTCTCAAAAAAAAAAAAAAAAAAAGTTGCTCTGAAAGGCTTTTCTAAGTGGGTCCTATTTGTGTAGAAAATTAATTATATGTGAGAGCAAGCCATCCAAGTACTTGAAAACATATCAGGCAGGAGACACAGCAAGTACAAAAGCCTTAGCCTGGAATATGCTTACAGTATTAGAAGAGCAAGCAGGCTGGTGTGGCTCAACTGCAGTGAGGAAGAGGTGGCAGTGGTTGCTAAGAGGCCAGATCATACAAGCCATGGTACATGTAGAGGTTTTTTTTTTTTTTTTGAGTGATGTAAGATTACTGGGAGAGTTGTGAGCAGGCAAGTGACATGATCTGACTTACATATGTAAAATCACTCTGCCTATTATGGAAAAGAGACTGTGGGACTGTGGGGCAAGCATGGAATTGGGAAAACCAGCTGGCTACCACGCAGTAGACTGAGCAAATGATGGTGGCTTGGACAATGTTGATAGCAACGAAGTGGTGAAAGTGATTAGATTCAAGCAATATTTTGAAGGTCAAACTGACAGAATTTGCTGGTAGACTGGGTGTAGGGTGAGAAAAATAAAAATCAAGGATGACCCCAAGGAATTTGACCTAAGTGACTGGGTACATGATGAAGCCATTTAACACTGGAAAACCATGAGGAGACATTGAGAGTTCTATTTTGGACATTATCATCTTATGATGCAATCTTGGATGTCAAGAAGGCTGTTAGACATAGAATTCTAGTTTAAAAGAGAAGTCGAGGCTGAAGATACAAATTTTGTGGTCACATACATAAAGTATTTAAAGTCATGGGACTAAAATGACACAAGCTACGGAGTGATGTAGAGATGGTCAGGTTGAGCCCTGGGATTCTTCAACATCTAGAGTTTTAGAAAAAGAACAAGTCCCAGCAGAGCAAATGAGAGAAGCCAGAGAAACAGGAAGTTCAGGAGAAAATGTGATTTCCTGCAGGGCACATGAAGAGTATCTCAAGAAGGAGGAGTGCTGTCAAGGCCCAATGAACACCGAATGTCAACCACCAGATGTGGCAGCATGTAAGGTAGACTAGAGAAGGTAGTTTCGGTTAATGATGGTGACACACTCAAAACACATGGTGGTGGCTCATGCCTGTAATCTCAGTGCTTTGGGAGGCCAAGGTGGGAGGAACATTTGAACCCAGGAGTTCAAGGTTGCAGGGAGCCATGACTGCCCCACTGCAGTCCACCCTGGTGACAGCAAGGCTGACCCCAAAACAAAACAAAAAATCACATGGGAACCATCCAATGGACTCTGATACTGCAATAACCTCCTAACACCAATGCTTGTCAGTTAACTGGCACAGCTGTTTGAGTTTGCTCTGGTTTCTTTTTTTTTTTTTGAGAGGGAGTTTCGTTTTACTCTCATTACCCAGTCTGGAGTACAATGGCATGATATTGGCTCACTGTAACCTCTGCCTCCTGGGTTCAAGCAGTTCTCCTGTCTCAGCCTCCCAAGTAGTTGGGATTACAGGCATGTCTAGCTAATTTTGTATTTTTAATAGAGACCGGGTTTCACCATGTTGGTCAGGCTAGTCTCGAACTCCTGACCTCCAGTGAGCCACCTGCCTCGGCCTCCCAAAATACTGGGATTACAGGTGTGAGCTACTGTGCCTGGCCTGCTCTTGCTTTATTTGCAATAAAATGAAGTCATTTTCATAGACTCCCTGAAGTTATAGGGTATAGTCCAGTAAGTGCAGTGTTTTGTAGCAACAATCAATATGAAATCATGTAACTGTTAATGATTCTCTCCTACCTGATAATGCCAGCCCTGGAAAATTACCCAATATAAGGATATTGGTTTGTCATTATACGCACCTATAAAAACAGAAAGTGCTTGCAAAACAGGTAGGCTCTTTTTTTTTTTTTTGAGACAGAGTCTAGCCCAGGCCAGAGTGCAGTGGCATGATCTCGATCTCGGCTCACTGCAACCTCTGCCTCCTGGGTTCAAGCGATTCTCTTGCCTCAGCCTCCTGAGTAGCTAGGATTACAGGTGCACACCACCACACCCAGCTAATTTTTTGTATTTTTATAGAGATCGGATTTCACCATGTTGGTCAGACTGGTCTTGAACTCCTGACCTTTTGATCTGCCTGCCTCGGCCTCCCAAAGTGCTGGGATTACAGGTGTGAGCCACCATGCCTGGCCACAGGTAGGTTTCTCAAAAGTAGTGTCAACAGTCAGAAAGGTAAGAACACGGTGATGACTTAACAGGCTTTTTAACGGAAGGACTTGGCATTTTAATATTCTAAACTCCATTTCGAATTTCCATGACGAACCCATTTCCAAAACTTATTTTGCCTCATGGGGCTACTGTCCCAGGTGATAAGCTCTGATAGCAGTGTGTTAGGAGCACACAGCAGTCCCCATGAGTTAGTACTGTGATTCACATGCTGACTGACCCACCATCCAAAGTGACATTTCACCCATTTCACCAGGGTAGTGAACTGCCCCCCTTGCCCCAGAACACTCACTCTATCCTCCTGTGATTTTCATTTAAAGATACAAAACAACTCTCTGCTGTCATTTTGCCACCTATAAACCCCACTTTCTTTTATGTATATTATTTTGACCAAATTCTGAAAAGGCCTAATTTGCTAAATGAAGTCTAAATTGCTTTCTTTCTTTTTTTTTTTTTTGAGACAGTCCCACTCTGTTGCCCAGGCTGGAGTGCAGTGGCATAATCTCAGCTCACTGCAACCTCCACTTCCCAGGTTCAAGTGATTCTCCTGCCTCAGCCTCCTGAATACCTGAGATTACAGGCACCTGCCACTGCACCTGGCTAATTTTTTTTTAGTAATTTTTAGTAGAGACGGGGTTTCACCATCTTGGCCAGGCTGGTCTTGAACTCCTGACCTCGTGATCACCTGCCTCAGCATTCCAAAATGCTGGGATTACAGGCATGAGTCACCACACCTAGCCTCTAAATTTCTTTTCACAAGGGCTACATAAAACCCTCTGGTTAAAAAAAAAATTTTTGAGACAGGGTCTCGCTCTGTTGCCCAGGCTGGAGTGGAGTGTGATCTCAGCTCATTACAACCTCTGCCTCCCAAATTCAAGTGAGTCTTCTGCTTAAGCCTCCCAAGTAACTGAGACTATAGGCGCACCCCATCACACCTGGCTAATTTTTGTATTTTTAGTCGAGATGGGGTTTTACCATGTTGGTCAGGCTGGTCTCGAACTCCTGACCTCAGGTGATCCACCCGCCTTAGCCTCCCAAAGTGCTGGGATTACAAGTGTAAGCCATCGCACCCAGCTGATTAAATTTTTAAAACCCTTTATGAATGTAAATAAATTTCAAGTAAAATAAAAAGAGATTCCACATGGTGAATATTTTTTCTAGCTATTAAGTTCTCTTTTAATTCCTTTTATGTCAACAATCATTTTACAATCTCCCCTGTTCACCACCTATCTGAATCTAGACTTTAAACATTTTAATGTAGATCAATATAAATTGTTGAAGGCCAGATTTTACTGATAACCACTGGGAAAACAACTCTTTCCTGACCCATAGTTAGCATGGATGAAAATGTAATACAGAGACTGTAAAGAGACCACCTCAGTGAATGTGAGAGAAGGGAAATGAATAATCAATTCAGAAAATCATTTTGTTAAAAATATTTATTTAAAAAAATACAATTGCTGTCCATATCTAGTTGCACATATATCTATTAACATATCTGTATAATTTTAACTTGTAGTAAATTTGCTACAGTGCTTCTGTAAAGTCAGCTTGCATTATACAAAGCAAATTCCTGTCAGTTCTTACATAAAATAGAATTTTTAAAATGTATATCTTTCCAAAAAGATGCATATTACCATTATAGAATTTAACAAAATTTTTGCATAAAACCTGGGAAGTGTTAGAAAAAATGATCTCCTGATTGGTCAGAGCAACCCCTTACTATGTCTGGAGATGCACTGAATATCAACTAAACATTTTTTTTTCGAGCAGCATATTATTATAAAGCCCTCAAAGTGCTATCGCATCCTTTCCCTCACCTATCTAAACTCTCTATAAAACTTTCTCTGCTGCATACAGACTGAATTCAAGACTGTAGCTACAATCATCCTAATCAGTCTTAGAGCAGTGTCCCTTTGTTTCCCAACAGGTAAGTCCGACTGCTTAGCTAGGTGATGTGGCAGCTTCCCTCCAGCTGCTTCATCAATTAAGATGAATTTTAATAAATGTTAGCAGTGACCATTTTAACTACTTTTTTAGGAAAAAGACCAAATTAGGTCTTTCAATACTTTGAAGGTGCTTTTTAGGTCTCCTTAATGTAAATTATGCTGAAATTAACTAAGATGAATTATTAACACTTTAACAGTTATCCATTCCTTTGGATAGATGTGCACTTGCATTATATGTAAGTAGCTCTACAAAGTGTTAGGTACTCAATATGAGATATAGATTTCAATAAAACAGGAAAAAAATAAACAGTGAAGTAACTGTCTTCTCAGTTGAGCTGACATGTTTGAAGAAAGCACTCTGACATGTTCTTACTACCACATATCCCGAACTAAGACATTTACATAAAATAATACATCTCTCCTGGGTTAACACTGATGGAGACACACTTCAATAGTCCCATGGCAGACATATGCTTTTCTTCTGACTTACAAACTGGCTGAATGAAAATTAAGAGTTTATTATTAAGTATCTTTTAATTTTTAAGTGATGTCCATACCTGATAATCCACAAACTGTCACTGCCACTGTGGTTAAATCACTTGGTGTATAGAATTTAAAATAATCTAACCTACAGTTATTTCCCATTAATCAAACTCATCCCTAGTTGTCTCTTAGGAAGGTCTTCTTAAAAGAAGATCCAATAAGGCTCATGGAAAATTATTAGTTTGTTCTTCAAAATACAAAGTTATACACTCTTATTTTTGAGCCAATCTGATTATCTGGTAAAGAAAGGGCATAATTCTAAAAGACTAATTTTAATCAAAAATTTTTACTTGCCTCAAACTAAAGCTAACCAGTAACAAAATGACTGGACTCGGTTTCATTTTTAATTTTCCCTGCCCACGAAGATAAATGAAACTGTTCAAAGGAAATGAAGAGATATGATTGTGATTATAAAGCATCCAGGGCCAAACCAAATAAATAGACCTCAAGGAATCAAAAATTAATTGTATTCATTTCTTTTCTATCTTTACATATATGCATCTTAATTCACTAACACTGAACAGGGAAGTTCATAAAAATGCTACTCTACCACATAAACAATAAATGTAAGCAATGAATCTACATACAAAGGCCACTGGTTAATACTGCCCCGAAAAACAAAACAATGAAATGCCTTAGAGAGGACTGTGTCCCCTACACAACAGATAATAAGCAATAATGACTAAACCGAAAAGCAACTTAAAATTCGGTACTTTACAAATTTAAGTGTAATCTATCAATTGCAAATTATTTTTAGAAATTGTAAATTTCTACAAAGCACAGTATTAAAAGCTTGCAAATTATTTTAATAACCTAGCCAAAAAAGTGTAATCTTAGAGAGCCTAGAAGAATGGCTCATTAGGTAACCCATTTATCCCTTCTACAAACACCCCATAGGTTCCAGAAAACATAAACAAGAAATAAACCTTATTTCCCTGAACCTCAATATCCTTAAGTTGAAATTAAACAAATGAAATAATCATTAAGTGCTTCCAGTTATTAAAAATGAAACAGTGCTAATACTGGTGCCCAAGAAAGTGCCAAGTGATGAACACCAATATATGGCATTCCCACCCCTGAACTCTAGGCATTCTTGAATGATTCCACTGGCTAGAACTCTGGGCCAGCCACAGGAAACCCCACCTCCTCCCTGACGCCATCCAGAAGATCCCAGGCCTAAGTGAGCATGGCTCACAATCCTTGGAGGGGAAACCAAACCAGAAGGAGCCTTTATGAAATGGGAAACAAGGCAAAGTTGAGAAGATCATTCAGCCCAAGACATTCTACTCTGAGGTTTTGGCTAATGCTAATGACATACAGTTTAAAAGGATAAATTAGGCCACAATGCCAGAATTCCTTCACTACTGTGTTCAATCCATTGGTCGAATCTCTGTACTTTAGAAATACTGCTTAGAGTATAAACCTCCTCTTTGAGAAACTTACAACACAAACTAATAAAGATTTTACACAAAAGCAAACAAATGTAGAAATTTTAAGAAGGACATCCTTATTTGACAATACATGAACCTAAGAGAACAATTTACAATGACTTTGTTTAGAGTATGTCACATGTAAGCAGTATATTTCTAAAATGTTGGCAAGTAATTCATTTTTAAGGCCTACTGAAATGTGCAAAGCATTAATCTTTAAAAAGTGGCAACTGCAAAGTGCAGCAATTTTATTTATTTTTTTTTAGTTTTAGTATAAAATAGACTAGGAGCCATTAATGTATGTTCCCTCTGAAAACAGATTTTCTCATACATACACACATTCAGTCGATACATCAGCATACACTCGTACACATATACTCGTACACATAGGCCAATAAATCAGAATGACTTGGAAAAAAATGCTCTAATCTCCCAATTAAATATTTCAAAGTAAAGTCTTCAACCTCATAAAACTTTCTGATGTGGACTATACTCAAATGATTAGCACTCAAGAGATTTACTATGTTTGATTGTACCCCTCATGAATTTTCTTTTTAAATATTTCCTTTAAAATTATGTCAACAACAGCATGAATTTCCTGGTTTCTATAGAAAGTTTAGAGCCAGTATTTCCCCTTTCCTACAAACCACTCTGGATTTTCATCTATCACAATGACTAAGTGTGAATGGTAGCACCTTAGAAATTGCTATTTTCTGGCAGGCTATCAATCTATCACAATTTTTTTTTTAGAGAAGTGACTTGAAACTGACAGCTTCAAATGCAACAATTATACTACCATTAACAATTCACCTTTCAGATTTGAAGTGACACATTCCACCAAGTACAAGAAATAAAATGAAACCATTTTCCTTTTTTAATACCCCACTGGCCACAAGAATTCTAGATTCTAAGATTAAAACTTCAACTTCAGTAAGCAGAGTTCTGATGACATAAGAGGCACTTTGTTTCAGGCAACGCCAGCAGCATTAAAACAGTAACAAATCATTTATTTGTTGATCCCAAACCAAGAATATAATTATATTTTCCATAGAACCCACTCTCTGGTCAAAGTACCTGCCAAAGAAAGACCATTATGGCTGATCTCCACACTTCATTTACTACACTACGGAACAATTAACTTCTCAACACGAAATAATGTATTCCATCACACCTTCAGATGACACACTATAGCATGAGTAGTCTTTTTAACTTTCCTATTGGTTTGGTAATTCATTTAGAGCTTCAGGTTTCTGCATAGAGACTTGCATTTGTCTCCAAACTTGTTTTCACACCTAAGAATGGCACCTAAGTAAGCATGATTCTAGATTCCTGGCATGGGTAAATAAAACATATACCATCACTGAGTTAAAAACAGAAGAGACCTATAAAGAAAAGTATTCCTTCAGATGCTGTAATATCACAGATTTCAAATATCAAAAACTTAATCCAGCAAGAAAATGTTACTTGTTATATATTTTAACATAAAGCAACTTGAAATGATTCTAAATTTGTTGGTAAAATATAACACAAGGCCCAAAGAAGTTTGTGAGACCAGTAAAATAAAAATAGTCATACCTAACATGAAGATAAGAGACAACAGGCTGACAACAGTAGTATGAATGAAGCTGTGGAAAACAGGTGGTAATGGATTATTATTTGGAAAGTTACCAAAAAGAATGTAAAATTTCAAAAATTGACAATAAGCTCTCTTGAAAAACTCCAAATCTCTAGGATTTCTCCATATATCACAAGAGGAGCATCATACATTTTTGGAGATTAGACTGAGAATACCCTGAGTCAGCAGTCTTTAGGTACAGTGTGTGCTTCTGGGGGACGCACAAGACAACCAACTGGGGTGTGGGAAGAAAATATGATAACTGCTACTCAAGATTTGCTTTTTATGCCACCCTTCTTTTCAAGTTTTGTGTATGTTTTATAATGAACATATTACTTTGGTATAGTCATATATAATTTAACATATACCCATATAAATTTTTAGTAGGGAAAGTTTTACTGATCAAGGTGCGTGTTCAAAAAGGCTAGACGCTGCTTTTCTGAAATACTGCTTTTCTAAACCACCGCTTCAGAGGTATTGAGAAGTGGTACTGAGTGGCTCTAAATGCGCTTACATTCACTAAAAACATAAAGCAACCTTTAAGAACCTGAGAATCATAGTACAAAGTCTGAGATCAGGATGAAACAATGTTGTCAGACTGGACGTCACATGATGCAGGCGTGAAGGGAACTGAAGTGATATTATCAACATCCTGGAGTTATAGCTCCAGAATTCCAAACCTCTGATTTATGTCAGTCAGTCTTACCTTTTTAAATCTGTAATATAGTATGTAAATCCTCAAGGAATTTTCCAGTTAAAAAAAAAATCCAGCACCCTAATAGAGGCTTGCAGGCTTACTGTCCCTATCAAAATTTTAACTGTCAAAATGTGGGGGAAAAATTAAACTCATATTTTAACTCTAAGCAGCTTAAGGTTGACCTTTTAAGGGCCTCTACTACTTTTTTTCCCCTTCTCGTAGTCCTCAAAATCTAGATTGCATATAAATTTAAAAAAAAAAACAGGAATTTCCACCTTTGTTCAAACACATACGTATGCCATGAGCAATGTAACATCACAAACGTTCTGTGACAAACCATTAATAAAGAAGGCTTACTAAGACAGGTGTGGTGGCACATGCCTATAGCCCTGCTATGTGGGAGGCTGAGGCAGGAGGACCACTTGAGCCTGGGAGTTTGAGTCTACCCTGGGTAACACACCAAGACTCCATCTCTAAAAAATTAAATTAATTAAAGGATTCCTGAAAGCTCTCATTTCTAGAAAAATAAAAATAAAAAAAATCACTGAACTCAGACATGAGATTTTAATTTTGTATATTTAAAAATCATTACATAAATAAGAAAAAATTATTTTAGAAATTATATGAAAATCCATTCTTGGATGGAGTAAATGCAATGGTTTGCCAGCACTGGCTCTAAGCCAACTGTGCACATCCCTTCTCAACTCTAAGGTGGTAGCTTGAAATCAGCCACAGGGTAATTAATTTATATCAAAGAAATCAGCAAATGCTACAAATTCAGGGCTCCCCCCTCCCCCACCCCAGATATCCTGGTTGTTAAACATTTTCCGGCACACGACTGAGTGGATGGGGGCCAGAGCAGAAAGAAAGCTAAGATACCAGAGAAGCTGTCTCAAAACCCCATTCAATCTGCCTCCCTTCTGTAACTTAGGCTACTGGTGCCTAACAGCATTCATCCTGGCAAAGTGACGAGGGATGGATACCAGCTACAGCTACCAATTACAAGTCTCTCCAGTGAAAACTGATCTGAAGTGGTATGTCACACTAAGAATTCTTCGGATATTCAACAGAGTATGAAGCCGAGACTTTTCCAGGAAGGAGGTAGTCTATAAACAGAATTGTCTGCCTCATACACTTGCACTAAAGTTGTAAACTTCGACTTAAAAAAGGACACGAACACACATGCTTCTCCAAATCAGTTGATCTCAAAGAGATAGCAGATCACCAATCTGTGACAGCTTCATACCTCTCAAGAGGCTTCAGCTATAGGTTTATGCAAAAAGGACTCACTAAAATGGTTTGCTAGGAAGTTGCTTCAACTGAGTTTCAATGGTGCCCTTGGTTCCAAGGTACCTCTGTGCTGAGACAGTTAATTATTAAATATACCATCTATGAAAACAAATCAATGGCTTTTCTCCTTTAATTCAAAAAGATAAAATACCTTTGTGCTTTTAAAATTTAACACATCTAGTTAAATCAACCATCTATATTTACTTATTTAATATACAAAATGTTAACCTAATGAAACTATTCCAAAGTGCTGCTGAGAGGTCCAATTTCAAACAGGCATGCAAACTAAATAATTCAATATGGGAAAAAAAAGTCCAATATGTCTGTTCCCCATCACTATTAAACACTACCTTCCAACACTACTATTGCACATCTCAGGAACAGAACCTTCAGCTGATAACCACAAATGAACCAGTAAAAAACCTCCAACTACAGATAATAAAGGCAGCTCACTGAATATGTTCCCTCTACTACTAAGTTAGCTAGCATAGATGTCTTCTTATACAAGAGCTTCCTTCTCTCCACCATATATAAGCACATGGAAAGTAACTACCATGCACCTGAGAGATGCTAGTTTATAACAGTGTCAGTTTGAGCCTTCAAGTCCTTACTCCTTCATTCCATTTAGTTCATGTGATTCTACAGGGTTAGAAGATTAGTTTAACCGGTGGGAGAGGTTGGTGGAGGAGGGCAGTAGTGGTGATGGATGGTGACAACATATAATTTAATCCTGGACTTTAATGCCAACTTTTTCAAAAGACTCCACCACCATGATATTGGTATCAATTCAGCTTGGGGAACCAACAAATCTGTACCTGGCAATGATTACCATACAGTAATATTTTACAAATTTGGTGATGCAGAGATGAAGGCCTACATTTTTTTACTACTAATATGAATAATCCAATCCCCTATGTATAAGTATTCCCAAATGAACTCTGCTCTTCCCCATTAAAAAAAAAAAGTTGAAAGAAATAAGCACAACTTTACTTAGCTAATGACTGGGGAGGCTTCACTTTGAATTCTACCCTCCTGACTGCATCTTTAAAACTATTAGAACCTCTAACAACCTGAAACATAAAGGAAAGTTGATCAATATATAGTGGAAAATGAGGTAAAATGAACAGGAAAAAAATGGGGTCCTTCACTCAGTTATCTTCTAATTGAGAAAACCCCAACATGTTGTTTCAAGTTATTTGATTGAATCTTTTACCAGAGATGTTTCAAATATTCAAAACCCAAGTTCATCCTCCTAAAAGTGTTCATTTCCCATGCTGCATTTCATGGGCATATAATCATACCACCCAGAGGGCGAATAACATTTCTGTGCTAGATATGAGGTCCCATATTCTCACTAGATGTTTCAAAACGTATCCTAAACCCCAGGTCTAAAAAATCTTTCTACATTGAAATAGACTAGCTCCATGCCCTGTTGACAGGTTCAGACAGGATCATACAAATGGCTGAGAGATCCACCCCGAATAAAGGAAAACGAGATGCCCCTTTGGGGAGTTGCTTACATATGTTATAGTTCACACAAAACAATCTCCCCAGTATGACTGCTGCAATCTTACTTTGTATCAATAGGAATGATTCTTGTACTGCTTAGGAACAGTTCACTTTTAGCCACTCAACAGAGCACACTTAGTACTAAAGATGCCAATTCATTTCACTGATATTTCTTTAAATAATAGATTCTAAGCATAATTTTTCCTGGCCAAAGAGTCCCAACAGCCAGAAGGAGTAACTTTGTTCTTAACTGCTCTTGCAAAGCATAGCCACTAAACCCACCAAAAATTTCTTCAGCACAAAGCTCAAAATATTTTGAAAGAAGGAGAAAGAAAAAAAAAAGGAAAAAACAGAGGGAAGCGGAGTTTGGACTCCAATTAAGGCATTTTTATACACATAGTCCAACTTGAGTCCTATTCAAAGAGAATCCTAAAAAGATGTTTTAAATGGGAAACAGCAAAAATCACAATAGTCTATTATCAGCATTGTAGAACTCAATTGCTCACTTCAAATGCAATCATGTTGAATGTCTGTTTCTTTGTTCCTCAGTTCTCTCATTCCACAAGTGCATAGGTTATGTCTTCTGTAAGTCTGGGGAAAAGGGGCCAGGGGTGGAAGGTCCATCCAGCCCAGACAGAGTGAATGGCCCATGACTGTTCAGTACAGAAGGAAACTGAGAAAGAAAACAAAACATATTAGCATCCTATTACTCAACCCCAACTTTTACTTTCTGTCCTACTACTGCTGTTTATCCTGACAGAATATGATGTCATGATAAAAACTAAAAACAAAAATGGTTTGTCCTAACATTAACATTCTCCAACCTACCTCGATGGAGTGAAACAAAGAACCACCTGTACCTTCCTTCATATCCTAAGGTATATGGGTTTACAATTAACCTCAACTGAAGGTTTTAGCAAGTTCAAGTAAATAACAGTACATACTACAGATAAATGACAGTATGCACCCCAGAGTATAGTTCAATTATGAAGCGAATCATAAACCCTCAAAAACAGACCCAGAAAAGTACAAATAGTTAGTGGATGCTCATCCTAGAAAAGGGTTCCCCATCCAGTATTCTAAGGCTAACTCTATAGGGAGATTCCAGGCTGAAGCTATAGAAGCACTATAACTTTGCTTAAGGTCTCAGCTGACTCTATAACTCAATTATCTGTTCATGAGTGGCAATGAAAAAATATATATAAAAAATTCTCAACTTCTTTTCTATTCAATAATTTTAAATGTTTGCAAAAAAAAAAAAAGCAGAAAGATTTTTAATTTTCTTTTCCTCTACCATTTCAATTCTAAAAGAATGAGAAGTTAAATTACAAAATATAAGAAAATCAGAGATAGGCAACCCCCAGTCTATAAATAAACAGACTGACTCCAAGAAAGCCTTTAAGTTATAAACTTTAGATGTTTTGGGCAAAACAAAGGCTAAACCCATCAGTAATGAAAGAACATCTTGGTGAAGAGATAATATAATATTCATTTTTTTAAAAAGTATATTTAAAATGCTGATAAATTACCAATTCTAAGGAAGAAACGGGAGTATTTGATATACCATTCTCAAGACCTTTCTCTACTAAAAAAAAAAATCCTTAATTAAAAGAAAAAACCTATGTGCAGAAATCCCCGTGTGTGTGTGTGTGTGTGTGTGTGTGTGTGTGTGGGGAGAGAGAGAGAGAGAGAGAGAGAGAGAGAGAGAGAGAGAGAGAGAGAGAGAAAATGTGTGTGTGTGTACTGGATCAAGCAGCCTCCCCAGCTCAGCCTTGATAGCTGGTGCCACAGGCTACCATGCCTGACTTAATTTTTTGTTTTTATTTTCAGTACAGACAAGGTCTCCTTACATTGTCCAGGCTGGTCTCAAACTCCTGAGCTCAAGCAATCCTCCTGCCTCAGCCTCCCAAAGTGCTAAAATTACAGGCATGAGTCACACAGTGCCTGGCCCCCCCTTTTTTTTTTAATAGAGAATTTCTAGTGACAAAAAATTGGGGTGAGTTCTAAATCTCCTACAGTACTGAACAATTCTTGGTCTAACTTAAGTGTATGTAATATTAAATAATAAAAATGAAATTTTGCTGTGAATATTTACTCAAGCTGTTTGCCAGCTAGAAAATTAACATTTGGAAATTCAAAAATAAATCTAAAGAATATTTATTGGGCCAGGCATGATGGCTCATACCTATAATCCCAGCACTTTGGGAGGCCAACATGGGTGGATCACCCAAGGTCAGGAGTTAGAGAACAGCCTGGCCAACATGGTGAAAACTAAAAACACAAAAATTAGCCAAGTACAGTGGCGCACATCTATAATCTCAGCTACTCAGGAGGCTGAGGCAGGAAAATCACTTGAACCTGGGAGGTGGAGGCTGTAGTGAGCTGAGATTGTGCCACTGCGATCTATCTAGCCTGGGTGACAAGGTGAGGACTCTGTCTCAAAAAAAAAAAAAAAGGTATTTATTAAATAGAAGTTTTGTAATGATTAAACGGCGCAGTGGGACACTGCCTTTTTGCCTATTTCTTCATTTAACATGCTCCAACTACAGAAGACAGACTTTTATAAAATTACCTGGAAAAGCGTGTTAGCACCTTGCAGTCTGGCTGGACTCAGGGGAGCAACAGGACTGAGTGTACTCCAAAAGTGGATACTGGAGAGCAAGGGGCTTGGAGTCAGTATGATGGGTGTCTGCAATACACAACGCAAAGATATTCACTGAATGACTTATCAGGATTGTTTTATCCTTGAAATAGCATACAAATAACCCAAAACCTAAATATTGCCCTCTCCTCTACTCCAAATATCTCAAAGTCTGAAATTTTAACATGACAAAACTCAAAAATTATTTTTACACGCTAAGAAAGATAAAAACGTAACTACTTTTTTTTTTAACTCTTATTTCAACAGGTTTTGGGGGTACAGTGGTTTTTGGTTACATGGATGAGTTCTTTAGTGGTAAATTCTGAGATTTTGGTGCTTAACCTCTCTTTTTAAGCCAAAATTTATAGAGTCTTTCCCAAATAGAAAAACCAACCTGAATTCATAGGAATAATGGGTAACCACGTCACCAACATGTTGTTTTTTTTAATAATGAGGTCTGGGGGAAATCTATGAAAATGTTCTTTGAGATGTGCAAGTTAATAAATAGCTCATGTAACTGTACCAACTTGTTACTCAACATCACACCAGTCATTTTTCTTACAGTTCTGAGAACCTACTGTTTTCTAACTTGAGATTATCACTGTTTGTTTTATAAGATACCACCGAGTTTTATAGAGAGAACGTGTGCACTTTCTTTACAAGGAAACAGAAAATTCAAAATATTTATTTACTTGAAAATACTCCAAACTTTATATTTTAGCAATCCTAATTAAGATGAGAAATGGGGTAACTTTCCATGATCACACATAACCTTTCTAAGACAAACCTAAGTAACAGAAAGCAAACTGGAGTGTATAAATTCTGTATTTGCTTAAAAGGGCAAATAAATGCAAGCAATGGTGATACCATAAAGAAAGAGCTACCTGTGAAAAAAATGCTGGTGTAAGAGAGGCTGTAGGGAGAGATGGGCTCAATATTCCCAGTGGGCTTGGATCACTGCTTGTGATCACAAGGGTGGGTGCCAGTTCTAACCCTTTGGGTTTCTTCGATCTTGATGAATTATTTGTTTTGTCCTTTTCTGGCAAGACTGAATCCTGGTCTTTAGGCTCCAGTGACAAGTTCTCTGGAAGTTCCATTGGTTGAGAAGCTACTGAATCAATGTCTGTGTCGATGTCTGGGTGAGAACTCAGTGGTGGTGAAGGTGTTCTGGGAGGTTCCTGCAAACAAGGGGGTATGGACGAAATGGGTGGTGTGGTGGCAAAAGTAGTTGTTATGCTAGAGGCAGAGGTTGGGGCTTCCAGGGAAGGCAGTTTTGGGGAAACCAGTGTCTCCAATGCTTGGATAGTTTCTTCTGAAGATGGAGAAATACTTGGGCCAGTTGACATGGTGGCAGCAACAGGTTCAACTGGTGGCTTTTTGGAAGGTGTCGTGACAAATTTGATGACAGATGGTGTAGGCTCCTGAGATTTTTTCTCTGCCAGTTTCTCAGCTGGATTCTCAGTCTTTATCAATTTGAAAAGCTTTACATTGGAGGAGTTTAAAGAGTTGAGAGTAAATGAAGAATATAAACCAGAGTGTATGTAGTCATTTCGGCTAGAGGTCTTGGCACCAGGCTGAGGTGGTTTCTCTTTCCCTCCATTCTCCACATCTTTGGAATTGCTGCTGACTTCACTGAAGTTTAAAGTTTCACAGTCACCTTCAATCCTGCCCACAGTCATTGGATCCATGTTCAAAATCTCTGGATAAGAGACAAACTTGTATACAAATTTCTGACCATTCACTTTTTTGATGATATTCTGTAGGTAAAAAAAATAAGCATTCTTATCCTTTCTTATAAACTTATATCCCATAGTTCATGAAAAAGCTGTCATAATGAGGTTCTCCATTTGAGAAGCAGACATCACTTACTTAAGTGTCAAAATCACCTAAATTCATCTAGCCATACCAAACCAGTCCCTACCACTATGGGGAAGTTAAGGCAAGAACACTTAAATGTCTTATTAACAACTGAACTAATATGTTACATAAAAGCCAAAGGATTTTAATTGCTTACCACTCTCAACCAATTATCTGTATAGGTTAGAACTCCCTGAACTGCAATCTCAAACAATTCCAAAGGTACAAGCCATTCACATCCTGAGTAAGCAAAAAGGAATTTATTTATGGTTTTTTCTTTTTTTTTTTTTTGAGATGGAGTCTTGCTCTGTCACTCAGGCTGGAGTGCAGTGGCGTGATCTCAGCTCACTGCAACCTCTGACTCCTGAGTTCAAGCAATCTCCAGCCTCAGCCTCCCAAAGTGCTGGGATTACAGGTGTCAGCCACCATGACCAGCTGCAAAAAAGGAATTTAGAACATTGTATCTGCTAAACTTCTTACTTCCTTCAGGAATTCCAGTTTATCTCCAGACAGGAAAGCCAATCAGATCAACCACTTAAAGGTGAAAGAGCCAGGCCGGGTGTCTCACACTTTGGGAGGCCAAGGAGGAGGGTGGATTGCCTGATGTCAGTTCAAGACAAGCCTGGACAATACGGTGAAACCCCATCTCTACTAAAAATACAAAAATTAGCCAGGTGTGGTGGTGGGCACCTGTAATCCCAGCTACTTAGGAGGTTGAGGCAGGAGAATCACGGGAACCTGAGAGGCAGAGGTTGCAGTGAGCTGAGATCAGGCCATGCACTCCAGCCTGGGCAAAAGAGCAAGACTCTGTCTCAAAAAAAAAAAGGTTAAAAAAAAAAATTAAGATCTCAAGATCTCAGCTTCTCATTCTAATTCTATCCTTTGGAGCCATTTATTTTACCTCAGTGCCCAAGAATGAATTCAAAATATTATTAAACAAAAAATATAATTTTAACTAAAAAACCAACTCTGTGTATTAACAGCTACTACTTAAGGTGTAAGGTGTTAATTTGTGTTCCCTGGGTTAAATTAAAACTAAAAATTAAAATCTAAAAACAAGAATATACATGTAGATATACATATGTGTATGTGTGTATATATATGTATGACTTTTTTCTCCCCAAGACAGGGTTACTCATCACTCAGGCTGGAGTGCAGTAGTGTGATCATGGCTCACTGCAACCTCGACCACTTGAGCTTAAGCAATCCTCCTACCTCAGCCTCCTGAGCACTGGGACTACAGGTGTACACCACCATGCCAGGCTGTTTTATTTTTTGTAGAGACAGAGTTTCCCTGTGTTGCCCAGGCTAGGCTCAAGGTCCTGGGCTCAAGCGATCCTCCTGCCTCAGCCTCCGAAAGTGTTGGCATTACAGGCACAAGCCACCACTTCAGGCGTCACAATTTTTAAATTATGACACACATGAGAATACATATTTATCCTCAAGAATCTCAAACTTCCTTTGTCCTATTCCAATTCTGTACATACTTTTTCTTTTAAAGACAACTCTAGAAATAAAATAGGTGTAATGGAAGTTAATAAGTAAGATTTGGTAGAGATACAGCCAGAACATTTATCCTTTGTATCCTAATTCCAAACTGCTGAAACTACAAAATAAACTGGATTAAAATAAACTAGGATGTTGGTATCTATAACCTTAACAGAAAAGAAGGAATCTTTTTTTTTTTTTGAGATGGAGTCTCGCTCTGTCACCCAGGCTGGAGTGCAATGTGCAATATCAGCTCACTGCAACTTCTGCCTCCCAGGTTCAAATGAGTCTCCTGGTTTAGCCTCCTGAGTAGCTGGAATTACAGGTACCCACTACCAAGCCCAGCTAATTTTTTTTTTTTTTTTTTTTTTTGTAGTTTTAGTAGAGACAGGGTTTCACCATGTTGGTCAAGCTGGTCTCAAACTCCTGACCTCGGGTGATCTACCCTTCTTGGCCTCCCAAAGTACTGGGCTTACAGGCATGAGCTACTGCACCCAGCCAAGAAGGACTCGTTCTTGTCTTGAGGTTCTCTGTATAGTATAAGAACAGGATGTGTACTACCTTTACATAATAGTATCTGAGGGCTCGGCTGAGTTTGTCATAATTCATGTTAGGCTTGTTCTTGCGAATCCCCCAGAGACGAGCCACCTCTTCTGCCTGTAAAAGCTTAAACTGCCCATCATTAGAGGTCCAACAGATCATGTGCTTGTTCTGAGGCTTCTGCAGGAGCTGAAGGAGGAACTGCCACAGGGTGATAGCACTGTCCATAGCAATGAGCTGAAAGAATATAGATATGTGATAATATTAACAGCCAGTACCTATTTAACACTGTACGTCAAGCACTGTTTTAAGTGCTCTAAATGTATTAATTCATTTAATCCTCACATTTCTATAAGGTAGAGACTACTGCATCCTCATTTTACATATGAAAAAACTGATTTATAAGAGGGTTAAGTAACTTGTCCAAAGTCACCCAAGTAAATGGTGAAGCCCAGGCAATGATCTAAGCCCAGGCAATGATCTATAAGCCCAGGCAATGATCTAAGCCCAGGCAATGATCTAAGCCCAGGCAATGATCTAAGCCCAGGCAATGTGGACCCAGAGTCCAAACTCTTAAACAGGCCGCAGCTGCTTATGAAATGCCTTAAGCAACAAGCAACTTGCAAGGACGATAAAGCTAGTTCCCTAAATTATAGGAAAAGACAATGATTGTCAATCACTAGTGACTGTCATTCACTGTTGATAAATTTTAATCCTAAAATCTCATTGCTGTATTCCCAGGAGACCACCATTCCAGCATCTATCTAAATCAACCCAGTTTGTTTGCCTGCGTGCGTGCATGTGTGTATGTGTGTGTGTCTATCTCAGGGTGGCCCAGGGGCTGAGGTGTAGGGAATAATCTACTTTTGCTCCAATTGGTTTCCATTACCATAAATGTCATTTACATACAAACTGGCAGCATTCTGAATTCAGCAAAGTGTTCTCTCAATTTAATTTACAAGTTCTGTCACTGTTCTGTCCACAGGGATTCCATCTGCAAAATTCTCCTTTGATTAGCGACTTTTATGTGATTATCAAGACATGGAATCTTTTAATATCTTAAGTTTCAGGATGTCCCTGTTTAGGCCTGAGTGTTTGATTTTGGCATTACTGGTTTTGGGGGCCAGATATTCTTTGCTGTGGGAAGCTGTCCTGTACACTGCAGTTTGTCTAACAGCATCCCTGGCCTCTACCCACTAGATGCCAGTAGCACCCCCTGCCCCATTGAGACCACCAAAAATATCTCCAGACACTGCCAAATATTCCCCCAGGGGTCAAAGTCATCCCAGTAGATAACCACTGGTTTAGGAAAAGGAGCAGCAAGGAATGCTCTCTCATAAAGGTATTTTCCTCATAGAATTTCAAAACACCTTTCTGTTAGGAAGAATTCTTTAAGGCAGAAACTCTGGCCAAATCTGTGTAAGTGTGTCCTAAGAATCCTATGATTGAATACTTCACACACACACACACACAAAAAAAACAAAAAAACAAAAAAAACCTTCCCTTCTCTATCAACTGTGATCTCAACGGGTTAGAATAGAGTTTGAAAACTAATAAAATCAATACCATTAAAACAATACAAAACCAGATAAACTGGACTACATCAAAATTTAAAACTGTTGTGCTGCAAATAGTGCCATCAAGTGAGAAGACAATCCCCTAAATGGGAGATATTTTCAAACCACGTATCACAAAGGAGCACGTATCCAAAATACATGAAGAACACCTACAACTTAAAATAAATTTAAAAAGCAAAGAATTTGAAAAGATATATCAAAGATATATAAATAGCCAATAAACATACAAAAAAATGCTCTATGTCAGCTGAACCTACCCCATGCATTGGTGCCGCCCCCGGCCCACTCCATACTGGCTCCCCGGAGTTCCCTCAGCCCAGCCTGGTTCAGTCTAGCACAGTTCCCGGGAGGATGAAGTTCGTGTACAAAGAAGAGCATCCATTCAAGAAGTGCAAGGGCAAGAAGATCCAAAAGAAATACCAAGACTGGACGCTGGTGATAGTAGAAAAGGCTCCCAAAGCTCAGATAGGAGACCTGGACAAAAAGAAATACCTGGTGCCTTCTGATCTCACAGTACTTCCTTTTTTTTTTTTTTTTTTTTTGAGACGGGGTCTTGCTCTGTTGCCAGGATAGACTGCAGTGGTGCAATCTTAGCTCACTGTATCCTCTGCCTCCCAGGTTCAAGCGATTCTCTTGCCTCAGCCTGAGTAGCTGGGATTACAAGCACCCACAACCTCACCCGGCTAATTCTCGTATTTTTAGTAGAGACAGGGTTTCACCATGTTGGTCAGGCTGGTCTCCAATTTCTGACCTTGTTATCAGCTCACTTCAGCCTCCCAAATTGCTAGGATTACAGGTGTGAGCCACCACACCCCGGCCCCAGTTCTACTTCTTCATCTGGAAGTGAATTCATCTTCAAGATGAAGATGCCTTGTTTTTCTTTGTCAACAATGTCCTTCCACCCACCAGTGCCACAATGGGTCAGCTCTACCAAGAACTCCATGAAGACGACTTCTTTCTCTACATTGCCTACAGTGATGAAAGTGTCTACGGTCTGTGAAACTGCTGTCCCTGAGCTGGAGGGGGTCTCATTCTACAAAGGGAGAGGTGGGCCCCCTTTTGATCTCCTCCTCCTTCACGCTCAAATACCACCTCCCTTATTCAGGACTGGCACTTCTTAATGTTTGAGGCTTTCTCTCCAGTCTCTCTGAGGAGGGGTAATGGTGGAGTTGGCATCTTGTACCTCTCCTTTATTCCCCTTTCTCTGTCCGCCTTTCCCATTCTGCTTTAGACTTCTTGATTGTCAGTCTCTGTCACACCCAATGATTTGTTTTGGTTTCTGTTCCCTGACTGCCCAAGTGGCTCAGAACCCAAGCAATCCCTTCCTTTTACTACCTTCATTTTTGGGGGTAGTTGGAAGGGATTGGAGTCGTGGGGGGAAGGTAGGAGGCACATCAATAAAGAAGAAATCACCAAAAAAAAAAAAAAAATGCTCTACATAATTAGTTATTGGGGAACTAAAAGTCAAAACCACATAAGAAACCACTTCATGCCAACTTGGAAGGCTATAATCAAGAAGACAGATAATAACAAACATTGGCAAAGATGTAGATAAATTGAAGCCCTCGTACATAGCTGGTGGGAATGTAAAATGGTGTAGCCACTTTGGACAAGTTTACCACATGAACCAACAATTCTACTCCTAGGTATATACTCAAAAGAAATGAAAACATACGTCCATACAAAAGCTTACAGAGGAATGTTTGTAGCAGTATTATTCATAACATCTAAAGAGTAAAAACCAACTAAATATCCATCAACTGATGAATGGATAAATAAAATGTGGCACATTCATAATGGGGTATCATTTAGCCATAGAAAGGAATGAGGTACAAACACACACACAAGGACAAATCATGAAAACATTATGCAAGTGACCAATAGAATCCAGTCCACAAAAGACCACATATATATGGTTCCACTTACATGAAATGTCCAGAATAGGAAAATCCATAGACACAGAAAATAGATCAGTGGTTACTGAGGACTAGGAGCTAAAATGGGGAGAACAGAAGTAGGGAATGATAGATATGGGTACAGGGTTTCTTTTGGGGGTGATGAAAATATTCTAAACAGACTGTGGTGATGTTTGCACAAACCCCACAGCATACTACACGTAAGTAGGTGAATTTTATGGTACATGAATTATATCTCAATAAAGATTTCTAAAACAGACAAACTTAACAAACATTAAAAGAGTTAGGTCTGAGAAGACTAATTCTAACAACATTTAACTCACAGAAGATGGAATCCTTAAAGGTCAACTATGCCTACTTCCAAAAAGGGAAGAGATAAGAAACTGTAGTGGAAAATAACTGTTCTAAAACACCCAAAATGTCCTCCAATAATCCTCATGATTATCACTCTCAAGCAGGCTGTATGGAGACAGACATCTAAAAGTAGTGAAGGGAAAATAACAAAGGATGGAAAGGGAGAGATGCTGCCCATAGTCAGAGTTCACGGAGAAGCTGCGGCCAAGAGTCCCAAGTCTCTTTCACCACAATCATGTACTGTCCATCAGGGAAACCACTTCCCCAATGGATAAAAGCACTCACATCACTAATTGATGATAAAAAAGCATTACATATTAGATAACATAATAATCCACAAATATGAAGTGCTACCTTAATGCTAAATAACCATGCCCGCTAGAAATCACAGTTCCCCATAGCCTCACTTAAGCTGAGTTAAAACAGTGGTTTTATACTATATCCACTAAGTATGGTGGAGGCAGGCAGGGGTTATTCTGCTAGGTCTGAGTTTACCTGACAGATCTTTCTTCTGACGATACCTAATGATGGCAAGTTACTGTTCTACTACAGTTTTCCCATTTAAACAATTATTTATAATCTAATCCTGTTAAGACTATTCTCCAGTAAATGTTATGCAAAGAACTCAATTTCCACATTTCCAGACATCGCCTTCATGTAAGACTGCTTATAGGGGTGCAGTATGAATCCATTTGTGAGACGATCATGAAGGAAAGACAGGCAGAGAATGGGAGTCTCCAGTCTACACAAATGTGGTGCCTATTATTCCATTTGTTTTTGAAAAAATTCCAAAACCTGAATCCTAGGGTCTGAATACCTATCATGTAGATAACATTTGAGCCCTACAAGTTTAAAGCCTCAGCTATCCATCTAAAATGACAAAAATAACAAATGTCTCCATAATGAGCACCCAAGGAGATTCCCAAAATACAGGTGTTCTCCAGATGGTGCTGGTTAAACGTGCACCTTCCCTGTTGGTTATCAGTGAAGAAGCATATATTGAGTCAAATGCTGCTGAGCTGTTGGCTGCTGTAGGGTAGAACCAAGCTGTTGTGGAAAATGCTGATGCTTTGTTAGCATCCACGGTGTGTCTAGATAGAAAGCTGTGGACAGTAAAAGAAAAATGGCTTTGAGGTTTTAGATTGAAGTACTGGAAATGAATTTTGAGAAAATCCAAGATACAAAACGGACATCTTCAGTGGGTACTTTAAAGGAGTATTTTATTAATTCAATTATGATATCATGACTTATGATTGCAAAGCTGGCAAACATCTTCGTAGTTAAGTCAAAGCTCTTCATTTTAGTTTCAAAAAGTGTGGTATTAACTATGATCTTCAATGATTTCATCAGCTATAAAAGAGAGCTGGCTGAGCACAGAGGCTTATGCCTATAATCCTAGCACTTTGGGAGGCTAAGGAGGGCCAATCACTTGACGTCAGGGGTTCCAGACCAGCCTGGCAAATGGTGGAACCCCGTCTCTACTAAAAATACAAAATATCAGCTGGGCATGGTGGTAGAACTCAATAATCTCAGCTACTTGGGAGGCTGAGGCAGGAGAATCATTTGAACCCGGGAGGCAGAGGCTGCAGTGGGCTGAAATCACTCCACTGCACTCCAGCCTGGGCAAAAGAGCAAGACCAGACCATGTCTCCAAAAAAAAAAAAAGGCTAAATGAAGAAAACCCCATAAGAGTTATTAAAATTACAGGGTGGCTTCATGCCTGTAATCCCAGCACTTTGGGAGGCTAAGGTGGAAGCCTGAGCTCAGGAGTTTGTGACCAGCCTGGGCAACATGTTGAAACCCCGCCTCTACCAAAAACACAAAAAATTAGCCAGGCATATTTTTCGTGACTACTCGGGAGGCTGAGTTGGGAGGATGGCTTCAGCCTGTGAGGTGGAGGTTGGACTGAGCAGAGACATCACTGCTCTCCAGCCTGGTCAACAGACTGAGACCTTGCCTCAAACAAAAACAAAACAAAATACCCTTTAGTCTTGTTACCTATCCAAAAAAGAGGGAAAATACTTCATTTTCCTTCTCACAAGAATCCTGAGTTTTCTACAACTGCAGTTTTAAAACTTTAAATTTATAACAAAGGAAGAAAATACTTAACTGGTCCAAATGAAGGAATCTGATTTTTGAGGGGGTAAAGGCTGAAAACATAACTGATTTTAACACTTCAAACATAGATCAATCTCTGGGCTAAATTGAAAGGGAGCATACTGAAGTAACGTATTAAGGAAAAGAAGTCTCTTTTAAATAAAATCTTTTCCATCCTAAACATGTTTATAATACACACAGTCCAGTTGCTGTGGTGACCCATAGCCCAACTATTTTTCAGAAACAGTAGCTAAGACCCAAAAAAATTAAAACTCCCCAAATTTTCTTTTGCCTGCTACTTACATCAAACAAAACCAAGTTATGAAACGTATGAAGCCTAGAAATCAAAATAATCACCGTTGTCAAAAAGTAACCAGACGTTTTTAACTACACAGGCTCCTAAAAAATAGTCTCTGTGTAGGGTCCTGTGTAGTTCTTACAATATTCTTACAATAAAACTTGAAGACTACTTCACTAGGAATGAACAGATTCCACTTACGAAGTTTTAATGTTTAAGTAAAATCAAAGAGGACAGTGTTCCTGAAGGGAAAATATTGAATCATACATTTTAACGAAAACACCGCTGCCAAGACTAAATACTAAAGCACCAAGTTTTCCAAGCCGTGGGGGGTGGGGAAAAAGGGAGAGAGGACCTCATCTGTCAACCAGAGATGGGCAAACCATTCTGAGGCATTAAAACTCCAGAATATTTAAATTCCCCAAACTTCAAATAGCAATTGCTAGAGAAAAAGCCAAGTGTGTACTTCTGACTACTTCAGTCAACATCCCTTCCTTCCTTCCGAGGCCAGTTAGCATCCCACCTGGAAAGATGTTTCCAATTCATCTTCCCAGGAATAAAGCTACCAGCCTCGATGCAGCAGGGCACGAGGGAGAAAGTAAAGTGGGGCGGGGGGCCGCTGGAGCGAAAGTGAAAAAGAAATGAAACTCGACACCGGATGAATAGCGAGCTTGGGGAGAGGAAGAAACACCGACGGCCGCGCGTGCCCTACAGTTCAAAGTCCGGGGAAAGAGGTGCAACCTCGCCGGGCCTTGGTAAGCACTGAATTACCGTACTTTCATTTTCCAACTTCCTGTCACTACAAAAAGTCAGAATTGCGCCCCTCCTCCCCACCCACGCCAAAAAAAAAACGCAGCCACCTTTCGCCCAAGGGACCTCTGGGGACCAAATAGGAGGTGACGAAAGCGGAGCGGTGCGCTCCCGCGTCCACCTGCGCGCCGCGGTGCCCGGCGGGCCGGGGGCGGACCCGAGGGGAGCGCGCGTCCGGCCCCAGCCACCACTTCCTGTTGTGCCGCGCGCCCCTCGGCCCTGGCCCTGGCCCCCGCTCCCGCACCCGGCCGGTGGGGCTGCGGCCGCTAGATCCCGAGGGGGCGCGCGGCGCCGGCTGCTCACCGACGCTGCGCACGGGGCTTCCCCTCAGTCTCCGCCTCGAACACGATGCGCCCCTCCGCCCTCAGCCTCCTCCTCACGCTGGAAACTCGAGGACAGCGCGGCAGCCACTGAGACCCCCGCGGCGGAGCCAGAGAAGGCGGCGGCGGCCGAGCCGAGCCCGCCGGGTGTCCGCAGCCGCCCGCATCTCCCGCCGCCGCAGCTTCTCGCGCCCCGCCCTCCCCGCCCCCGCACGCGGCAGCGGCGGCGGCGGCGCGGGTCTTGGGGCCGCTACACGCCAGGCGCGCGCTCGGGGCGTTTCTCGCAGCGGCGGGGCCTGCCAGGCACTCCACGGCCGCCGCCACTCTCAAACCCCCCGGCTGCACCAGGGTCCCTCCCTGACGCCGTAGTCCCCAACGTCACTTCCGGGGGCGGGGCCGCGACCCCCAAAAGGAGTTGTGAGCGGCGTTCGCAGTCAAGCCAGGGTTTGGCGTAGCAGGAGGTTGCAGCGAGGGCGCCTCCTGCAGTCCACTTGCCGCTCTCTGCCGGGTTGCTTCCAGTTCCCTTAGGCGACCGTCCGGAACCCGCCGGGACCTCGGACTCCTCATGGGTACGCCACGTTCTTCTCGGTCGGAGGGAAGAGGTGGCGCTCGCGGAGCAGCCTGCTGGGGACCACTTCTGTTAGTGCTAAGCTCAGGCGAGAGGCCTCTCCCTCCTGTGTCACTCGTCCTCCTTACCACTCGCTGTTAAGAAGTTGGCGCCGCCACAGCTTTCTCACCGAAGTGCCAGATCCCAGGATACTACAAACACTTGATAAATACTTATAAGCACTGAGGCTTTTTAGCCTGGGTACTGACAAATGGAAGGGCTGGAGTCGTGGGAAAAGCTTGCTCTGGCGATGGAGGCAGCGACCAAAAATTCATTCGTGACTCTACCCCTCTCTACTCACCAACTTTAAGCTCTCTAAAACACAGTCATCATCTATAAAATGGAGAGAACCCAATCTCTTAGAGTTGTTGTAATGATTAAGGAAGATAAGGTGCATAAAACACCTAGCAAGAGTTTCTAGCTCAGAGGTTCTCATTAAATAAAATTCTTAAGGAATCAGGTCACACTTGGTACAAGAAGCAACTTGAGCAATTTAGCACCAGAAGGAATGTAGAGTCATAAATTAGGACAGCTGAACAAAACCTTTGAGAAATAGATTATGTTTTGTTTAACAAGAAACCAAAAACAGGTCACTGTCTGAGTTACTGTTTATTCCTGGCCATTTACTAGCTGTGTGACCTGCAGTGAGTTGCTTAGCCTCTCTGAGTCTCAGTTTCCTCAGGTAAAATGAAGACGATAATATGCGGCATTGCTGAGAGGACTAAATGAAATATAGGGCATAATATGCATAGTGCATTACCTGGAACATAATAGTGGTATCATTTATTTTTGCCCCCACAATTGAATTAATTTTACCAAAGCATGCAAACATATTAAGACTTTTTTTTTTTTTTTTTTTTGAGACCGAGTCTTGCACTTCACCCAGGCTGAACTGCAATGGCATGATCTTGGCTCACTGCAACCTCTGCCTCCTGGGTTCACGCGATTCTCCGCCTCAGCCTCCTGAGTAGCTGGGATTACAGGCGCGCACCACCACGCTCGGCCAATTTTTTGTATTTTTAGTGAAGATGGGGTTTCACTCTGTTGACCAGACTGGTCTCAAACTCCTGACTTCGTGATCCGCCTGCCTTGGCCTCTCAAAGTGCTGGGATTACAGGCATGAGCCACCACTCCCGGCAAGATATGTTTTATAAGGAGGAACATTCAGCATCCGAAAAGCGTTGGCAGTCTTGGCCCATAATACAAAATTTTCTTTGCAACAACTTCCATCTTGGAAACCAAGACAAAAAAATTATTAAGATGGGCTGTATGAAATAAACCTATTGGAAACATTTGTTTATAGGAAGATTTCATTTCATTTCATTTCATTTATTTATTTTGAGACAGAGTTTCACTTTTGTTGCCCAGGATGGAGTGCGGTGGCACAATCTCGGCTCACCACAACCTCTGCCTCCCAGGTGCAAGCGATTCTTCAGCCTCAGCCTCCCTAGTAGCTGGTATTACAGGGTGGGCCACCACGCCCAGCTAATTTTCTTTTTTTTTAGTAGAGATGGGGTTTCTTCATGTTGGTCAGGCTGATCTCAAACTCCTGACCTCGGGTGATCCGCTAGCCTCGGCCTTCCAAAGTGCTGGGATTACAGGAGTGAGCCTCTGCCACCTGCCAAAGATTTCATTTGAAAGCCCCATAGCAAGAACAGGTAAGGGTTGTGGAGCTGTGCAGACTGCCCTGCTGTTCAGACTGGCAGTAAGCATCTGATTCAGCCTTAGGGTCAGTAGGTTGTGTCATATCCCTTTTGGACTGAGCTTACAGCATTGTCAATTGCAGTGTATTTTTGGAAAACAGCCTGCTTTGGGAGTTCTTAAATTAGTCATAGCAAGTCTGTCTGCTTTTAAATTGACTTTTTTTTTTTTTTTTTAAGGCAGTACATGTTGACAGAAGAGAAAGGAAGAAAAGTAGATTTCTAATTAGAGAACTTAAGGGGAAAAGTTAATTAATGTGCCTGGTTTTCCCACTCAGGGTTCTATAAATACGGAATCTCTCTCCGTGATTCCTCACACAACAGATGGCTCTGTTTGTGCAGACTCCATGGTAGTTATGTTGGTCAACCAAAAAGACTGTGCTTTTGTTTGTTTGCTCACTTTCCCACCACATAGATGGATTCTTAATCTTAACCTTAATTACTCAGGGCCATCCCAATTTGTAGATTTTATTAAAATGTTTAAATACGTATTTTCTGCCTAGCCTGCCCTAGATTTTATTTTACTTTATTTATTATCTCTTAAGTGAGAAAGTGCTTGCAAATAGATTTTGTTTCTTAACCATTGCAGTTATCCCAACTCTGCAGTCCCTTCCCTGATTTAATTACATTTCCTATCCCAGTGACACCTAGTTATGATCATTACTTCCCAAGGCAACTTCCTTTTCCCTCTCTTTTATTTCACTGCTTCATCATTACTCCCAGTCACTATCCCTTTTTCCCAAAGAAGTGTTTCGTGGATTGTGACTGACTGAGCAAGCATGGAGCCATCAGTTGCCTGTTATGTCTTTCAAGCAATGTCTTGTAGCACGTGACATAAAGAAGAGGTATCTTTTAAGTCAAAGAGAGCACCCACAACCCCACGTGGGGACAAGTGTGGAGCAAACTGCAGCATGACTGAGAAGAAGAATAAAAATCTGGGATATCTGGGTTCTAGCCTTTGGGTCTCCCTAAACTCAAAGCTTGAACCTCCTGAGAAAAGCCTTGTGGCTTATTCTTTCTGGGTTTCATTTTCAACGTCTTTAGGAAATAAAAGAGACATACTTTTCACTTCCTGTCTGTGATGGATACAGTAAAAGTAAAAGGCGGTAGGCCAGACACAGTGGCTCATGCCTGTAACCCCAGCACTTTGGGAGGCCAAGGAGGAGGGTGGATTGCCTGAGGTCAGGAGTTCAAGACAAGCCTGGTCAACATGGTAAAACCCCATCTCTATTAAAAATACCAAAAAAAATTAGCTGGGTGTGGTGGCAGGCACCTAATCCCAGCTGCTGGGGAGGCTGAGGCAGGAAAATGGCTTGAACCCAGGAGGCGGAGATTCCAGTGAGCTGAGATCACACCATTGCACTCCAGCCTGGGTGACTAGAGCAAAACTATGTGTCAAAAAAAAAAAAAGAGAAAGAAAAGGCAGTTGATCAAATGATGCTTTGAGCTCTTGGTAAGTGACCCTATTGCTGTTATATTTGTGTGGAATGAGATCTTAGTTAGAGGAAAAGTTATCTTTGAAAACTGTGGCTAGCTGTATATTGAATCTGGCAGCACTGGCTACCCCTACTACCTGTTAAGGCCCTAAACTTTATCAAATATAACCAATAAAAGTTTCATTCTCAATAATAAGACTTTTAATCAGAGGGTATTTAGGGTCCCCAGAAAACCCAATCAGAAGGTCCTTGAACAAGGTACTTAGGGCCTCTAGACTGTGAAGTAAATTCATGACATCTTCCGGGACTAGCTGTAATCTGCACAGAATACATTGCTTTCTCAGAGAGGACATGGCAATACATGAGTTATTGCAGTTACTATCTGGGGCATAGCAGCTATCTAATGTTTCATGGCCTGCCACAAACACAGCTCAGAAAATAGCTTCAGATAATTTTCATTCTTGATCTCTGTGCCCAGTCTACTTATTTTTTTAAATATTTTTAACCACAAGTAATTTTATTGGTCTTTGACAAATGTATTATTTCTGGGCTTATAACAATTGATGTGGAATATGTACTAGAGAAAGGAGAATCTTCTTCCTTCCTTCCTTCCTTCCTTCCTTCCTTCCTTCCTTCTTCCTTTTTTTTTTGACAAAATCTCACTCTGTCACCCAGGCTGGAGTACAGTGGTGCAATCTCGGCTTGCCACAACCTCTGCCTCCTGGGTTCAAGTGATTCTCCTGCCTCAGCCACCTGAGTAGCTGGAATTACAGGCGTGCACCACCACACCTGGCTAATTTTTATATTTTTAGTATAGACAGGGTTTCGCCATGTTGGCCAGGCTTGTCTCAAACTCCTGACCTCAAGTGATCTGCCCACCTTGACCTCCGAAAGTGCTGGGATTACAGGTGTGACCCACCTTTGGAAAAGGTGTTCCTTAGTTGATAAAAGCACACAAAATCTGCCTCTTATATAATTGTTTAAGATTCTGGTGTTTGGACCAGCTCCTTGCAGAATACATATTGCTCTGAATTTTATGCCAAAAGAATTTTTCCTCTCTGGTATATTTTATAATCATTGTCTGGAAAAAATTTCTTCTTCAATTAAAATTAATTAACCAATGTATGATACTATGCTGTTATTACAGAAGAAACTCAAAGAGCATTTGCTCTTCTAGGAATTCTGAGTCTTGAATTGGCAACACTGACACTCTCAGGGACCATCAGTGCTATCCACGACTTCCAGCATTTTCAGAGTTCTTTGGCTGTCCTATTGACAAGAGCAAATAATACAGCTAAGGATCCAGAGACGATGGGAGGGCAAAGTCAGGCTGACAGACGAAGAGGTAAGTGCAGCTCTGAGCAGGGTTTTGTGTTGCTG